ACTACTAAGTGCTCTGAGCATGACAAATAGTAGGTATACAGCAAGCATTTATTGAGCTGAAACACTGAATATATACTATTGCTGGCACTTTCGTAGATTTTGTGGAACATGCAAAAGAATCTGCCTTCATTGAAGTAGTCAGGAATGTAGACTCTGGAGCTAGAAGCTTGACTCCAATCCCATTTCCACCACTTACTAGCTGTGGGAACTTAAAAAATTACTTAACCTCTCTGTGCTTCAGGTTCCTTATCAGTAAGATGGGAGATAATCGTGGTAACTGTCTAAAAGTGAGTATTAATTTAAATAATGTATACAAAACATTTAGCACACACAGTATCTGACACAGAATAAGTGCTGAGTCTTACCTTATTTATGAATTAATGAAATAATTAGATTCACAAAATTTATATGCGTGAAAAACAAAATACTGCAAATATATCACTATATAGAACTGTTTAAAGTCCTTCCTGAACCAAGATGTTGCAGCACTACGACCTCAACAAAGCATTGCTGAATGAATGAATGAATGACGTTAAAAAAAAAAAAGCCACAGCATAATAAGTGCTGGCTTGACCATTGTGAGAGTACTGTGTTCACTTCTGAACATTATGCTGTAAGAGAAACAAAGTATAACTAGAAGCAGACCAGTAGGATGCTCCAAAATCTAAAAAGTATCTAATAAGAATGATTGAAGAAACTGAGAATAGGTAGAGGGACACATTATTGCTGACATCAAACATTTGAAAGTTGTCATGTGTAATAAAGGGGAGCTTTGCTTGATGCTGCCATAGACAGCAGAACTTGGGCCAGGGGATAAAAGTTATAGGCAGGTGATTTTAGCTGAACATAGGAGAGTATTTGCTGAAAGCCAGTGTTCACCATGCAGGTGAGGAAGTGGTAAGGTTTTCCATCTGTGGAGGTACTCATTAACTGAACACTAGCCTAACAAGGATACTGTCAAGGGGACTTTTTCATTGGGCTGGGGGTTATTCTAGATGGACTTTGGAGTGAGTTCTTTGCAGGAAGTTGAAGATCTGGACCTTTCAGGGAAAGAATAGTGTCACTACATTTAAATTAGTTCTCCAAGTGATAATCTCAAAGAAGCCAAAATGCTCTCAAAATCGACATCCCCATAACTTTCCCATGACCAGCTCACCCCTGTGCTTTTACATAAAATTTCCACTATAGCCACTTTTTGGACAGCTCATTCAAGGTCCCTGTTAAAATATGATTAAAAAAAAAAAAAAAAAAAAAA